TGCGATGGTTACCACTCCATGCCACTCGCCGCCATCGCCAACACATACCAGAGCGCCTTCAGCAACCCCAATCGGGATCGCGTTATAAACGCCGCGCGCGCACTGATCGACTGATCGACTGCTTGCCTACGGACATGGGGGACGACACTGACTTCTCCAACGCCAGGCCGTACGTGGACTCCAACAACCACAATGCCATCTCCACAGCCGATTCCTGCAACGGCTTCCCTCGGTGCATACCTGGATCGGAGGTACCCGTTCCGGACGCGTACGTAGGGGGTAGGCACAGGTACGGCCACTGCAGGCAACGGCCAACAGCCAAAAGAGGCCCTACCAAATAGCGGTGATGCCAAGTCAACGATTCTCTAACAGCGGCACATGCGGGTGCAGGTGAAACATTGGACGACCCCTCTTGGTACTGCCGCTGCTCATGGTATTTGTCGGCCTGCTCATCAATATCCGGCTTGCGACTTCCACTTTCGTGTCGGCGTTCGCCGGGCACCGGTGTTCGTGTCTCATTGTACTCGCCGCGGTCCTTTTTTTTTTTTGTCGCAGGTGGACCTCTCCGAGAAAAAGGCCTTCTTGAAGGACACGGTGACGGCAATAATGTCGGAGGGTGACGAGGAGGAGGAGGAGGAGGAGCAGGAGGAAGAGGAGGAGGAGGAAGAGGAGGAGGAGGAAGAGGAAGAGGAAGAAGAGGAGCCAGCGACCAAGGCTAAGGCCAAGCGCAAGTCCGCCGGCTTCCAGCTCTCCCCTGCCCTGTACGAGTTCATGGGCAGCAAGGAGACGTGCATGGCCCGCGGTGACGTGAGCGACGAGCGTTACTTGTGCACCTTAACCTGGCTGACCCTTACAAGAACCGAAAACAAACTCCAACCCCTACCCCGCATTCGTCGGCCAACCTTGAGCGTTTTGACTTGGTACGATCATGTCTGCAAGTTTGGCGTATAGATTCTAACCAGCATCGCTTTGTAGCTCCCACCATGAAAAACCGAGCTGCTGTCAGGAAACCCCGTTGTTTGGGTTCTTCTTCATGCTATTGTTGATGTCGTAACAGGGGAGGATAGTTGCTTATCCCCCCTTTGTCTCCAGGCCTCCGGCCGCTGCCGCGGTGCTGTTGTCTGCGTGCAACTTCCGCCCACCTTCTATTTTGTAGAATTTTTGAGCGAGCGAAGGCACTGATTGGGTGTGTTTGTTGAAACCGGAAGAACACAAGCACCTGAAAGCGACACCCCGAATGTAATCGAATCAATTATCATTATTATGTTTTCCTAGGTAGCCAAGGCCGTGTGGGCGTACTGTACACCAGGTCGAAATACACTTGTGTGAAGAAGAGACAAACAGCGAATAAAATCAAGTCTCCCATCGGTTTGTGTAGCCAAGGCTGCCTTCATTCGACCAAGCAACAGTGGCACCATAAAAAGGAAACGCCGATTGATTTTTGGCGATAATAACCCGGATTCTTGCTCTGCCTTCTTCGTGGGAACAAACACGTAAGGTGACCAAGGCGGTGTGGGCGTACATCCGCGCGGAGTCCCTCCAGGACCCCAAAGACAGGCGAAAGATCCGAAACGACGACAAGATGTTCCCCGTGTTCAAGTGCAAGACCATGAACATGATGCACATCGCCAAGAAGCTGTCGCCGCACCTCAAGAAGCTCTCGGACCTCGTGGAGAGCGGCGGCGGCGCCCCCGGCGAGGAGGTCGACACCGAAGCGAGCAGCAGCGACGATGAAGAACCTCGACGTGAGCAGGGGAGACGCAGAGAGAGCACGGGCGATGTGTGTGTGTGTGTGTGTGTGTGTGTGTGTGTGTGTGTCTTTATTATTAGCATCGACCGCGCTATCCGGCTGACCAATGAAAAGAGGTCAGTCTTGGTGCGGTTGAAAATACAAAGCACTGTGTGTGTATGTGTCTTTTAACTAGCGTCGACCGCGCTTACCGGCTGGCCAATGAACATACGTTAGTCTCAGTACGCTTGAAATCGTGTGCGTGTGTGTGTGTTTTTGTTATTCGCATCGACCGCGCTAGCCGGCTGACCAATGAGGAGACGTCAGTCTTGCAGCGCGAAAAACACACACGCGACAATGTGTGTGCGTGCATGAGAACAAAAGCTTCAGCAGTCGTATGACTTCCGTCGAAGTTATCGCGCTGGCTGCTGCTGTCGTTGCGTTTTTTTCTTTTTTTGTATCGTGAAACCTCTAGGGAGCAACCGGGGAAATGGTCTGTAGGTCCCACGTTGAGGGACTTGCTCTCTTTTTTTTTTCGGACGTTTCACGGCCTATTCTCGTCTCGACAAATTTGTTCTGTTTTGGCGTGTAGGCACTGCTGTGTTTTTGTGACATTTTCGGTCTGCTTCGCACTCGCACAGGAGTCAACGACTGCTGTTTGTTGTTGATGTTGGGATTACAACTTTGTTCGGGGTCTTTTGGTGTGCTCCCTGACGGAGACGCCCTGGATTGAGAATTCCACGGCAGCGGTAGGGCGCTAGAGTCTTGCCAAAGCGACGGGGTGCCATCTCCAAACTTCCGTTCGTTACTTCTCCCACCCTCCCCTCCGATCCTGTGGGAATAATGTTCTCTAGAGGGCGCGTGGTCAATAGTCTAGCAGCTGAGGCATGCAAAACATAAGAGTACGCCCCCCCTCCCGTCCCCCCGACTGGTTGTATGCGTATGATTCCACACTGCTCGCGGGTGGACCTATCAGGAACGGCCGGGTCGAAGAAGAGGGGCGCATCAGGGTCGAAGTCGAAACCCACGGCTAAGGTACGAAAGGTGAAGGTGCTGCCTGCATAGTACCACCCCCAATCTTGCATCAATTGTCGCCGATTACATTTTACCCGACACCGAAGAACTGGCGCTTCTTCTCGGCGGTGGTGTTAACGCGCTGCTAAGAGTTTTTTTGTCGTCTTATCGATTGGCCTTAACCGCCTTTACCCAGCATGTCCTGTCGTGAGCGTCAAATATCGTCGTGGGATGGAGGGTTGTCTTCAGCGTTCGCCTAGGACTTAGGTGATGGGAGTGGGTGCCTACATACTGGATGACGCTCGGGCCGGAGGCTCGTTTCGCAGAGAGACTAAGTGCTTCATCACCAGTGAACAGGACTTGGAGGCCACCTTTTTTCCTCCCAATGGTTGCGATGAGCCACAGCAAAAGCGGTGCAGTACGGCAGCAGTAAGCAAGCACACGGATAGAATGTTCCACGTTGTTACCATATCCTGCGGGACGTCTTTCATCCCCCCTCTCTCCCAAAACACACTCACGAAGCCACCTCCGTCGCATCATGGCGCCTTTCGTCCCGTACTTTTGCCGGGTTACGCGGGTTCGGAACACATACCCACCGCGGTGTCTGATGCCCCCCCCCCCCCACCCCCCCCTTTCTGGGCGCTGCCCCCCGCTATTGGGGCGCAAAAACAAAAGGGTGGGGCAACCCCAAAGGGGCGACCAAAGGCCGGCGCGGGGGGGGGGTCCGCGAAGGGAAAGAAGGGAAAGAAGGGGGGGGGCGGCAAGGGGGAGAGCGAAGTGGCGGCGAAGAAGACGCGGAAACCTTCCACGGTAATGTGGCGGGTGAGCGACGAGCTCGCGGCCGTGGTGGGGTCGAAGGACGCGACGGTGGACACGATCAGAAGCGGCGTGCACCAGTACATCAAGGAGCACAACCTACAGGTGGGATTCTTATTGTTGTTGTTGTTGTTGTTGTTTTTGTTGTCGTTGTCGTTGTTTGTTGTGGTGGCGATATTGATTTTTTTGTTGTTGTTGGCATTGATGGTGGCCGTAGCAAGGCGTTGAGCCCAGCGTGCGCCTCCTCCTTTTGCCAAGAAACGCGTCGTTTTGCATGACTGATACTGGCGGTCCTGACGACCGCATGAAGTGCACCCCCATATGGTTCGCCCAATTTTCGCACGTGTACCGTAAGGTTGCGAGTCAGCGCACGGGGGTGCGATCGATTTTCAAAGCGTAATTTCTCCACAACCTGGAGGGTGCGAGAGCCAACTGATACTTCTCAGGAAAGCTCTTGGCGAGATGTTTCCAAAACCGCCCTTTTCGACAGCAGTGGTAACCTGCTGGTTGTGGAGAAAATTAAGCTTTGAAAACCGCTCGCACCCCTGTGCGCTGACTCTCAACCATACGGTAAGAGGATGCGAGCAACTGCCCCGAATTCCACCAATCAACTACGCGTGGATGGTGCTTTCCAAAGACGGCGTGTAGGGCCCTTGCGGGTCTAGTGCGCGTCTTCGTGTGTCGTCAGGCGAACGGTGGGTGCCGTTGTGGTCTTACGCTTACCGCCTCATCTGTCTTGCCTTTTGAAAGTCGGACAGGCGCGTTCCCTCGGAGATGCTCTCCGTGAGAAATCGGACCTGATTCTTGATCTGAATACGAGTGCTGTACCTTGCTGTACCAGGGATTTTCAACCAATCAGAATTCTCCTTTCAAAACCATTGGCCAATGAGAAAACTGCGGGCGCCTCTTATCTCGACGACGACACCACCACCGTCACCATCAGCGCTAACCAAAGACCTACCGTAGGTGACATGACGTAAGATACCACATCCCCTGGTCCGGTTTTCAAAGCTCGATTTGTCCACGACGACGAGAGAATGCCGAAATCAAATGAAAATTTTCGGCAGGCTCTCGACGAGATTCCAAAGCCTCCCGCAATTTTCGGCACTGCCACTCTCTCTGCTTTGGGGTAATCGAGCTTTTGAAAGTCCGTCCAGGGTGTGTTCTACCTTTTGCCCAACCTAGGGTGCATGCACGCCGGGGGTTGGCACTTCGTATTGACTCCCCTCGTGGGCTAGCCTCTCTTGGTTGTTGGTATTGCCGAACGAGTGTTTGACTTCCGCACAAGATGGACCGTCCTTTGCTATCCTCGGATCCCTATGCCCTGCGTCCGCATGATCTTGACATATGTACACACCGCTAACAGTTTTGTCCGAGTCATTTTTCTCCTTTTCCTCTGCCTCTCTCCCTCCTTCCTCATTGCCATGGAACGCCGAAGGTGTTTCTTTGCTGTGACGAACCTGGTTGTCACCCGAATTCTACTAAGGTTTTGGCAAAGTACAGCAGTAGGAAGGAACGGCGGCGGTGATCGGTCTTGTAGGAACAATGCTCTCGAGGACGCCTGGTCAACGGTGTAACCGCTAAGACATGCAAAACATGAGTACGCCCCCCCCCCCCCCCCCCCCCCCCCCCCCCCGGGTTTTTTCCCCCCGGGTTGGTTTTTTCCCCTTTGGCCCCCCCTTTTTAAACCCCCCCCCCCCCCCCCCGGGTTTTTTCCCCCGGGTTTGTTTTTTTTTCCTTTGGCCCCCCCTTTTTAAAAAAGCCCCGTTTTTTTTTTGGTTCCCGCCCCCGGGTTTTTTTTTTTTTTTTTTTGGCGCCCCGGGGGGGGGGGCGGGGGTTTTTTTTTTGGGGGGGGGGGGAACCCCCCCCCCCCCCCCGGGGGGGGGCTCCCCCCCCTTTTTTTTAAATTGTGGCCCCCTTTTTTGGGGGTTTCCCCGGGTTTTTCCCTTTTTTTGGGGGGGAGACCCCCCGCAAAAAAATTT